TGGAATCTACATGTTTTCAACAATATTTCATCAACTTTTATCAAAATTTGCTAAAATTCTAATTTTTATCTAAATCAAATAAGAGCTATATTTCTATGTCAATTCGAATAAACTTCAATTAAATGCATTAAATCATCAAATAGTTCAATTAATATCGGCAACAATTATAAAAGAGGAATATATATCATTCCAATTACCGAATTTTATTACATGTTCTAAATATTAAAAAAAATAATAATAATAATTGAGTGCATCACCTGATCTTTAAGGAAATTTAAAGAAAATTGAATGATCATCAAAGTGGATGATCTTGACACCACCTACGCCCCATTTCCCGATCCTTATTTCATTTTCTCTATTTTTCTAAGGTGTAAACCTTCTCTCTATAAGCTAAACGAGTTTTATTGATAAAATAGAAGAATTTCAAAAGTTGTACTTCAAAATTAGTCAAAAGGATCACAAAAACTCAAATATATATATATATATATATATATATATATATATATATATATATATATATATATATATATATATATATATATATATATATATATATATATATATATATATATATATATATATATATATATATATATATATATATATATATATATATATATATATATATATATATATATATATATATATATATATATATATATATATATATATATATAAAAGGAATCATTTTAGCCAGATCGTAGTTCATTGCGGTAAACAACAGCTTGAGCTGGACTGCGATTGACCTCAATTAATTTTATTTATTTTTTCATCATCTATCGGATTCATTCTTGTTGGTTCATAATTCGCTCTCTTTGTGCGACATTGATCCATTCTTTAATGCATGAAAAAATTATTTTTTCCTTACTGCTAATTGCTTCTCTCCTCGACTCTTTAGATGTTGTAACTAATTAGGCTTGTTACTTCCAAAAAAAAAAAAATACAGATTTAGGAGCTCTTGGAAACTATCCTGGTTTCCCATTTTCGCCATCTGATTCGGATATTCTACACGATTCTTCAGATCAAGATGATATTGGTAAGAGAAACATTCATTTTAAAATTATTTGTCTATTGCTTGATAATATTGAAGTTTAAGGACATAGCACAATAACATTTTTTTTATCATATTATGAAGCCTTGTCATTTCAGTGGAGGAATTCTTTGTTGATTCTATTCCTGGGCAGCCATGCCCAACATCGGATGAAGAGAAATCCTAAATTCAGTCAAGACACATTCTCGTGGAAGTTGGATAATTTAGTATAGAGTAAGCCTGGGGCAAAAAAGTAGAAAAATTGATCAAACCAATCAAATCAAATCGACTCGAGTCGGTTTGGGTCGGTTTAACATGGGTAATTGGTATTGTTTGGTTGTCGTTTAAATAAAACTATGGTGGTTTGATTCGGTCATAGTTTGAAACCTCAAACCATTGGTTAATTGAATCAACCCAACTTATTTACACGTTTACCTTTGTTTAGGAAAACTAAAATCAAAAGATTAGCTCTAATTTCATAACTATATCACGATTCCCTCCAATCTATGATGTTGCCGGTAAGTAATAATACTGAAATTTCCTTTCACAAGCTCATTACATTATACTTAGTTTTTTTCCTACTTAGACAATCAGACTATATAATGTATAAAGAAGCAAAAAAATTCTTAAGTTTTCTGGTGTTCTATCTCTAGTAACCTAATTTTATTTGTTAATCAATAATTCTTGTAATATAAATTTATTTAATTATTTTAGATATTGTAATCTAATTGAGCCAAAACCTGGACATTTTTTTTTAAAAAAAGTTCAATTTTGACTAAAAGTCCATATCGACTAACCGAATTGAACCAAACCAAACTGATTTAGATTGGTTCTGCTCAGTTTAAGAGTTAGAATGGATTGGTTGTATTGAAATTCACCCAAACTGACTAATTTGGTTTTGGTTTAGTTTTGGGTTGGAGTCGAAACCAACCCAAACCATACCGTACCCGGCCTATAGGGAGTGAATATGAATTTTAAAATTTATTATGACCATTCCTCATTGGTTGTCCACTGTTTGTTGCCTTGTCGACAAATTTAGCCCTTGTGTCCTATATTCTTGAGTCTGTCCGTGCCCTTCCTACTAATGGCATGATTTTTACGAGAAATGTGAAGCATTTAGAATTCTTCTTGTCTTTGCATTTCATGAGTTCACCCTTGCGACTACCAAGAATGAATTTGAAGAAGGACGAAAGAGGGACAACACTAGGTGCATCTAGATATATAACCATGTGGGTTATGCTAAGATAAATATAATGGATTTATATGAACGTATATTTAAAATTTTCATGTATTTGAACTCAGAAGTGCACATAATATAAACCATTTGGTTGGCATTCGATTGACGAATATTAGTAGTGAAACAATGGCTATGTACATAAAATATGACAAGAACACATTGTCACCTACTACATCTTCTATGTACTTTTATATAATACTAGTACGATGCATGTGCAATGCATGATTTTAAATTATTAGATTTCCATTGATTAATGGTTAATTGGGAAAAATAGAAAAGACAATGAAACAAGCTAACACTTACAATTGGTGTTTCTTTACTTTTCCTCCAATGTTTAATTTATGCTTCGGTATTTTTGCCAAGAATAATATTATTTGTAGTCACTCTGCGTGGCACGTATGTTGCAGTTAGTGATTTAATATACGTGGCAAGAAAGAAACATGAATGAAGTTTGTTGTCATTGAAACAATTAATTTCATGAAAACAAGGTAAGTGGGGTTCAATGCTAATGATCGAAATTCCAATCTATGTGCATAATTGGATAATGTCATGCACAATTTCTGCCTTGATGGGTATAGAGTAGAATTTAGGATTCAATTTTGTTTTTTGAGGTGATATATGGTTTATAGTGTAATATAATAACTAAATAAAAATCATTAATTTCAACTACATTAAGAACCCTTTTCAATGACTATGCCTAATTTGCAGAGAACGCTTATAAATATCTTTCACTATATAGCATCACTCACATTCATCAACAATCACACTTTCATTTGGTATATGAGGAACCAAACAAATCTATTTTAAGCATAACATCTGCTTACCAAAATCCTCAAAAAGTAAAATTTGAATATGTAACAATACGACCCCCTAAAATGGTCCACTAGATCAGCCCAACGTACCCTAACAAGGTCCATGCAAGATTTGGACCATTGGGGTTGCTTTCATCCTGAATTTCTATCGTGTCCTCGACATTTTGATCTAGATAACCTGGATAGAAATTCTTACTAAATAAGATAGACATGAACCCTTCCAAAGCAGACGGTAAGTAAAAAAAGGAATTTATCACATATCTGGATAATTACAGAATCCATACAGCTAGAGTTATTATTTTAAACTTAAAAGCGTGTGTTCACTTTATCTACGTACTATTACTTGTGTGTGTTAAAATTGAACATAAAAATCTCAATTTCCTTAGGCAATTTTCTGCATTTAGTCCGAACCCAAGTAACAAACCCAAATATCAATTGCAAATATTAAGATGTCAAAAAAAAAAAAAATTGCATAAATTATCTTTGAGGTATTTATGTGACTGATGGCTTAGAATTGATGAAAGGGATGGAAAAAAATAAATAAAATAAATAAAAAAGTGAGTGGGTGTTAGACTCGGAAAAGAGAGAGATGGTATGAGACTCCTTGGCAGAACGACGTGGATGCCAAACGACGTCATTTTGTGTCTACAAAGGTAACTTTTTTATTTTTTAAATGACATTATTATGACGCTACCAAAGTAACGTTGTCGCAAAAGAACTTATGAACAACGTTATTCACAACCGACTATTATAGCATATTAGGGAGTTCTTACCAAACAAGTGTCATTTTACAATAAAGGTTTTGACTACAAAATGAAACTAGATACCCACATGGATGTAGACCCATGTGAATAAAATATTGTCAAAAAAATACTCACCCACCCTCTATGGTGTATATGCTGTACTTGTAAAAGAAATTTTGTACGCCAAGTGGAGTTGTACTCGTTAAGTTCCTTCTACAATAGTGTATTCGACGTAATTTCTCTTCCTGATATATTACTGATTTATTGAATTGATCACATGTTTGTTGTGTTTAAAGGGCTCCTTCTCCCTCCCATGTTACTGTAATTCTGTCTAATATTTAATAACCAGAAATTTGAATCAAATTAATTCTCAAATTAATAATAAAAATAATGAGATTTTATTACAAAATCCACTCTATTAATTAAATTCCTCTTACATACCTGTTTCTCTCATATATATTTATTGTCAACACCAAGTGCTGTCATATATGGTGTAGTATAGTGTATTAATGCAATACCTCCCTATCCACCTTAATGCAATACCCTAATTCAATCCCTCCTAATCATATCCCCTAATCCAATACAGTGTAAGAAACTGTTATATTAAATTTATCGTCATATATCAAATGGTTTTGAAGCTTAATAATTCATTAAGGTGAATTGAAACAACATTGAATAAACAAGTAACAATACTGAATTGTATCAAATATTATGTACTTAACATGTCCATGAGTGGTTGCAGCCTTGCGGGAGTGGAAGGGTTCATGCATTGTCTAAATGTAACTTTTTCTTCATGAAATCAACACAATTTGAGAAATATTTTGAATGTCTATGAAAAGTTTCAAGAAGTTTGAAGCCAGGAAAAACTCTGTTTCTAGAAGGTACTTCAAAATTTTACAGAAAAAATTCGCATTATAACAGCCCAGCAAAGACGTGCTTGTGTGTTGTGTGAGCCTCATTTTCTTCACGAATAATAATATTCATCACCGTTGGTGTTAAACACCAATCTAGGTGACCATTACATGACATTAAATAATAGATTTATTTAAATACAAAATCATGTCACTCATTTAATTGACCCTATAAAATGTAGTGTACTGGTGCTCTAACAAAACTTCTAAAAAAATGTAGTGTACTGGTGCTCTATAAAATGTGGTGTACTGGTGCTCTAACAAAACTTCTAAAAAATAGAATTTGTTCGATTACATCTCTTGTATAGCATCAAAAGTTAAAGAAGTTTATATCACAGCTGTTATGATATAATATCAGCATCAAGAGACTTATTACAAAAAAGAAACTCGAGACCTAGATAGTCATAGCTCACAATAGCATCATAATGCAATTAGATTTAACACCAAAATTTGTTAAAGACTTCAGTAGTGAAACCTACATAAAAGTACTCAATGCCCGTGAGCAACGAAAGCAATAGATACTGCAGCCAAAAGGGTGGTAACCGACGACAATATAGTCCAAAAGCTCTTCTTCTTGTGCGCTTCAGCTACAGAAATCTGCAGGAATTCAAGTTGTCTCTTCATGTTTTCGACTTCGGTTTCTTTTATAACAATAGCATTCTTGATCTTCTCCAATTCCACCATGTGCGCCTTCATTTCTTCACCATTAATCTGTTTGCCACCAAGCAAATCACCTTCTACGGCATCCCTTTCATCCTTTGAACAAAAAGCTGCTGTGTCCCTCAACATCTTCATAACCAGACTTGTATTAGCATCTGCCAATTCCACTTTACCCTGCATGGCATCAAGTCCATTTTGCGCCTCACCAAGTGATTTTTCAAGAGAGGCTATGGACTTCTTCAACGCATCACATTGGATTTCCAATTCTTTCTTTTCTTTAAGTATGGTGAGATTCTCAGCCTTCACTTTCCCAGTGGCATTCTCGCTTTCTTCAATTCTTTTCTCCATTTCTTCAATCTTCTCCTTCAATCCCATAGCAATTTGGTTTTCTTCGTCCAAAAACATTCTAAGATCGTCCCGCTCACCTTTCATCTGCTCAATCTCATACTTATAACCACTTATCTCAGATTCTAAGTTCTTAATTTTCTCTACCTTATCCCGGCCAGACACTTCCAATTCTAAAACTAAACTTTGGAATTTAACCACTTTATTTTGCAAGGAAACTACTTCACTTGCAAGACTATCTTTATCATTCACCAACTCAATCTTCTCATCGACCAATTCGTCAATTTTAAGTCTCTGCTCGTTTGATTGCTTCAACGCTTTGTTCATATTCTTCTCGACAAGATTCTTCTCTTCAATCAGTCCCTCACAAATCTTTTCATTCAGCTTCTTTTTCTTCATCAATTCATCAATCTCCATTCCCATATCCTTCTCCCTCTCCACACTTTCAGCGCATTTCTTCTCCAACTCAGCTAAATTTGCACGCAACTTTTCCTCCTCCTCGTGCAAATTCGTCACCTTCTCGTTCAGACCACTCACTACACTCTCCAACTCCCTTCCTTTCACCATTTCCAATGTTTTCTCCTCTTCAATTCTCTGTTTTTCCTTAACAATCTCCCGAATTTCTTTCTTCATATCCTCGATCAACTTATTCGAGTCAACTAAACTCTTCTCTAACAAATTTCTATCGCTCACTATCACTACGATTTTCCTCTCCCTCTCCTGTTTTTCCTCCAAGACGCGATTGTATTCATCCCGTATTTTTTCTATCTGTTGCTCGATCACTTTTTTTCCTTCCTCAAGTTCAATCAAATTCGTCCTCAATCCATTGGCTTCCTCTATTTTCACATCAAGTTTACCTTTCAGTCCATCCCTCTCTTCAATAACCCTTCTCGAACTATCTCGCTCAGATTCCAACTCTGCTACAGTCTTGCTCAATTTCTCATTCAACAACCCGATACTGCGTTGCTTTTCCTCAATCACCCCGGACAAGTCCGTTATTTTACTCTCCAAACCCTTGGTTTTCCCCTCAAACACCTCAGCATGATGACCCAACTGCAAAGCAACAAACACAGACACAACACTTCTTTCCAGTTCCAAATGCACAACCTTATCTCTCACCTGAGTCAACTCGTTCCGCAACATCTCCATCTTCGAGTTAGCCCCAGTCAGCTCCGATTCCAGAGACCCTTTCGATAGCATGAGAGATTCCACCTCTTGGCGGCGCTCCATTGCCTCTTTAAGAAGCCTCTGATTCAGAGACTTGAGGCTTTCGAGCTTCACTGAGGCCTCATTTTCCATGGCTATCGAATCCTTTTGCGGGGCCTGGACGAGTTCTTCTTGCTTCTGATGAGTTTTCTCTTGGTGGGAGTTAGACACTTTCTTCTTTGCCATTGCTTTTATGGGAATGCTCTGCCTTAGTTTCTTGTACGTTTTCTCTCGGTTTTTTTTTTTTTTTTTTTTTTTTTTTTTGTGTGGCAAACCTGAGGATGGAAGATATGAGGTTTAGGGTTTTTTCTGCGATTTTTTTTTTTTTTTATGGCTGAGATAAATGGGAAGTGCGCACTTCAACTTGAGGAGATAAGGGTTAATGCAGGCGGAGCAGAGAGTCTGAAGAAATGAAATGAAAACAATGGATTAGGGTTTTTTCGAATTCAAATTTCGAACGGCTCGAGATGCGAGGGAGCAGTTTAACGGTGAATATTGAACTCTTTTATTTCGCAATTCTTTGATCCTTTCTTTTTCAAAAGAGAGAGTCTACACGTAAGAAAAGTTGACAAATTGCTCCAGAATAGAGGGGGTGGGTGGTTTTTTTATAATATTTTATTTAAATGGAGCTCAAATTCCATATGAATATCTGTATCATTTTTGTGAAAGAATCTTCTGTACAAATGACAAAAATCTTTTCAAAATAAAAATGTATTAAAACATTCTGAATTTATTAGAAAAATAGCATGTTTCAAAATAAATTTTAATAAAATAATTTTCTTTAAAGAATAGGGTTCAATAGGTCTTCATATTCTCTTTTTTATTTATTTTTGTCCATTTCGAGATTTATATAATTGTGCATAAGAACATAGGAATGAAGTTATAAGAATATGAAATATGTATTTAATGATAATATTAAATTCCTAAATATATTTTAAATTTTCAAATGAATGATGAGCGTTATCTGATTGCAAATTTTCTAAGGGTCTGTTTGGTATATTTTTCAGAAGCCAAATAGAGTTTTTGAGATCCTGTTTAAATCGCATTCTTTCAAAAAATAAATTCTTAAACAGTAATTTGACATCGTTTCAATCACACATTTTTCTATAAAATAATATTAGACGCAAATTCAAAATTTTTCTTCATTTTTTGAACTATATATTCTACATTAATTTACTATTCCAAAATACATTCTTTCAAAATAATATGGCTGAAACACGCATTGAGATTCTAAGCCCCCGTTTGGCCCCCATTTTGAGGTAATGAGAATGTGTGGAATAATATTTTTTTAAAAATGAGTGGTTGAAAAAAAAAAGAAATGTTTTCGATTTACGTATAATATTATTTTATAAAAGATTGTATGATTGAAAATAGGAGAGAAAAAAATGAAATGAAAATTAATGGGGCCAAACATGGGTTAAATTTGGTTTTAAATCCACCTAATTAATTTTATAAAAATGTTTCATCAATTAAAATAGCTTGCTCATGCTTAATATGACTTCTTTCTAAGTATTTTTCAAGAAGGGAAGACTATTTTAGAAATTATTTTTCAAATATCAATTAAGACAACTTTCTTATGAATCTCTTCTATAGAAAGTACAAAATAATTTCAACGTGATGATTTAATTAATATTATTGATTTTTAGTAGATTTTATACTTTGTAAATTTATGAAAGAAATAATATGAAATCAATTTTTTGACAATTATTTCACTATTCTAATAGTCATTTTTGAATTCTTCTCTCACAGATAGGATCCACTTTATCTTTAACGATCAAAAAATTAATTATCAAAATCACTTTTTTTAGTATGATATCAAACAAGCACTAATGTTTAGTCAAACAAATATCTAGTTTATACAAAAAAATAAAATTGTGCCAAACAGATCCTAAGTTGTTTCACCATAATCGCAATAGATTTGATCTACTTCTACGTCCCCTGGGAGCAAACCTAGCAAGTTATGTTGTAAAGTTGACTAGCTTGGATAATGAAATGCACAACATTAATAGGAGCTTATTAAATCATTCACAAATTTCACAATACCTTATTTAAAATGTTTTAAATAATTTACACGTTTTTGGTTCTTCGTTTGGATAAGATCTATGTATATTTTTTCTTTCATTTAAGAAAGAGCTTGATATCTAAGACATGCGATGATTAACCTGTCTTTCTAATTCCCAATGTAGACTCAAATAAGGTTTCGAGAATCATTATTCTTATCGCCACAACTACTAGCCAAATATTCTTTAAAAGGTCCGTTTAGGTGCCATCTAAGCATACCTCAACATGAAGCATGGAGCAAAATGCCTCGTCTAGTACGAGAGAAAATGCGTTCAACTCAGTTGTGAAAAATAAATTTTTCTATTGTAAATGTCAAGTCTAGTACGAGAGAAAAGGCGATCAACTCAATAGAGAGAACTTATAATGTGAAAAATATATTTTTCTGCTGTATTTCATTGAATTAGAATTCATGTATTTTGTACAATTAATTTCATATATAAACTACAAAAATTGTTACAAATTGATTTTTGGTGAAACTACAAGGTGGATTTATGATAGTCAAGTTGCAAACTCTCTGATCAATGATCCGGATGTTAAAGGCAAGGGACCACGTGACTTGCTTTTTGGATTTCAAAGCTTTATAATTTGGCTGTGATCTATTCAAGACTTTGATTTTTTTTGAATTTGTACTTGCTTTGATATAAACTTTAATTTTTAGGATTTAACTTGAATTTGCTTTGATTTGAAGAAAAGTTTGATTATTCGAAATTTTTCGAATTGAGACTTGACAGATTTTTTTTCTCTTCATCCTCTACATATTTGAATTTTCTCCTGGATTAGTGATTTTTCTCATCCACTCCAACTTCATTTTTCTTAGACTTTAGGTCCTATTCATAGTGAAAAATTTCTATCCCCCCACTTTTAGTTTTTATTTAGTTTATTTAAATTTTAATGACTTAATAAAAGGGTTCTGATCACACAGCGCCCCTATGTATGAAGTTCATTGTGCAAAATGTTTCAACATTCCTTTTTTTTTCTTTTTTTTTTCTTGTTTTCTTTTTTTGCATTTTCATCCCTATTTCAATTTTTAATTGCTAAAATCATCATTTTCATCTAATTTCTCTATAAATACAGTAAAGTAAAGTGACGAATATACTCTCATATTTAAATAAAATATAAAGAAAAGGAAAGAAAAAGAAAATTAAACAAACCATTTGCAGAACAAGAAGAGAAGCCTAGCAGCCCCTCATGGGGTGGTCGAGTTGGTGGAGTAGATGAATGCGAAGACCTTTGATCACGAGTTCGATTCCCCATACCAACACTTTCTCGATTGAACATGTTGCACAGGACTTGCCTGGTGCGGGTTTACTTAGTTGGCATGATTTACAGACTATTGCTTCAACTCGAGAGTTTACACAGTACACATTTGAAGGGTAATGATTACGATTTCCTTCGTAAAATAAAATAAAATAAAAAGCCAACAAAGGCAAGGAATGGAAAGATCATATTCCCAATAAAATTAAACAATCCACTTCTTGAACGGAAAATCCGATTCCATCTATGTCAGAGAGTGCCTCTTCTTCCATGATTGCTTTATTGACAGCTGCGACAGTGCAACACCTCAGTCCTTACCTCCTACACCCCTTCAACAACGCTGCGCAAGATGCTAACATCAATCTTGTCTTACTTGACGACGACTTCGATGTGTTAAGAAGCTAACCCAGAGCTTATCGCTTTCATCATTAAGTGGCTCCTTAA